CTCTTCTCTTCTCTTCTGTTCTCTTCTGTTATGCTCTCTTCTCTTCTCTTCTCTTCTCTTCTCGTCTCTTCTCTTCTCTTCTCTTCTCTTCTCTTCTCTTCCTCTTCTCTTCTATTCTCTTCTTATATCTTCTCTTCTCTTCTCTTCTCTTCGCTCCTCTTCTCTTCTCTTCTCTTCTCTTCTCTTCTCTTCTCTTCTCTTCTCTCCTCTTCTCTTATCTTCTCTTCTCTTCTCTTCTTTTCTCTTCTCTTCTCGTCTCTTCTCGTCTCTTCTCGTCTCTTCTCGTCTCTGCTCTTCTCTTCTCTTCTCTTCTCTTTTCTTCTCTTCTCTTCTCTTCTCTTCTCTTCTCTTCTCTTCTCTTCTCTTCTCTTCTCTTCTCTTCTCTTCTCTTCTCTTCTCTTCTCCTCCTCCTCCTCTCCCACTCCGTTCCTACCTTTTCCGCCTCCTTCGCTTTCTTTTCCCCCCGGAGGAGGATTTCCAAGTTTCTCGGCGGTCGCCAGATGGTTTTCGGAGGCTATCGGACGTTCCCAGTGGTTCTCAGAATTTTCCTTATGCTTCCAGAGGGCCCAAAAGGTTTCCAGAAAAGACAGGGGGGAGGAGGAGGGGGAGGTTGCGAAAGGCTCGAGAATCGTGATGCCAGCGCGTAAGACATGCGGGGCATGCGCAAGGGCGAGGATGGAGGAGGAAGAGGAGGAGGAGGAAGAGGAGGAGGAGGAGGAGGAGGAAGGGGAGGAGGAGGAGGAAGAGGATGAGGATGAGGATGATGATGCTGATGATAATGATGCTGATGATGCTGATGATGATGCTGATGATGATGCTGATGATGATGGTGATGGTGATGATGATGATGCTGACGATGATGATGATGATGATGATGATGATGATGATGATGATGATGATGATGATGATGATGATGATGATGATGATGATGCTGACGATGCTGCTGATGATGCTGATGATTATGATGATGATGGTGGTGGTGGTGGTGTTGGTGATGATGATGATGCTGCTGATGATGATGATGAAAGTGATGATGATGATGACGACGATACTGATGATGCTGATGATGATGACGATGATGATGATGCTGATGATGATGATGAGGATGTTGATGCTGATGATGATGATGCTGATGCTGCTGATTATGATGCTGATGATGATGATGCTGATGATGATGCTGCTGATGATGATGATGCTGATGATGATGATGATGATGATGATGATGATGGTGGTGGTGGTGGTGGTGGTGGTGGTGATGATGATGATGATGACGATGATGATGAGGAGGAGGAGGAGGAGAAAGGCGGGGCGGAGGGAGAGGAGGATGGGGGCAGGAGTAGGAGGGGGCGATGGGGGATGAGAAAGAGAAATTATGAGAATGACAAGAAGACAACGAATGATATTTATATGATGAGTAGGACGAGGAGGAGAAGGAGGAGGAGGAGGAGGAGGAGGAGGAGGAAGGGGAGGAGGACGAGGAGGAGGACGAGGAGGAGGAGCAGGAGGAGCAGGAGGAAGAGCAGGAGGATGAGCAGGCCGCCCATGGGCAGATGGAGCATGGGCCGGATGCGCGGTCTGCTTGGGAGGCTTCTGATGCCGTCGAGGACGGCGGTGTCTTCGCCACTCTTTGGGCCACATGCCGACTTCCCAGATGCTAGCAACAGGCCAGCCGCCTTGCTGTGGGTTGGCTGTGGTCCTGAACCCGCTCGGGGGACCCACTGGCGTCGACACTTCTCTCGAGAGATCGTCGGCACGATGGGTTTCCACTGGCGGGTAGTTTAGGAACACGGCTCCTCCAGCCGTGGTTGGGCAGGACTCAACCCAAGAAGCAACCAAGACGGATGGTTGTCCCGAGCCTGGGCCTCTCAGGAGGCCCGTGCCAGGCAACGGTGCCATCAAAAATCGGCCCGCGAAGAGAACATATCCCCCAGGATGGGGTCGAGGGCGCGAGGGCTCTGGGGGCCCACGTCGTGAAAGATCACGACATCGTCGGAGTTTGCTTTTGGGGTGGGGAGTGGCAGATCCCCCTTCGATCTCCTTCGCTTGGGCCCCTGGAGGGCTTGCTCGGCCAATCACTCCTGGGGCCACCTGGTCCTCAGGGACGGCCAACTGGCCACGCGGCGAGGAGGACGAGGGCTGGCTGGACGACGAGCACGACACGGAGGCCGCCGCGAGGGCGATCGACGCGCTCCTGCTGCGCCGCGCGGGCCCGCGCCACAGGCCGCTGGAGGCGTCGCTGGCGGCGGCCCTGCGCTGCCGCGAGGCGCTGGCGGCCTCCGCCGGCAGCGGCCCGCTGTGCCGGGGCGCGCGCGCTGGCCCCCGCGAATTCGGGCGCGGGCTGGCGGAGGCCTGGGCCGAGGCCGAGGCGGCGCGCGGGGACGGCGACGAGGCGCGGGGGGCGGGCCTGGACCTGGGCTTCGCTGTCGACGCCGCGCTGCTGGCGCGAGTGCGGGGGCTGCTGCACCACCTGGCGTGGGCGGTGTCGGCGGACCCAGAGGTCAGGGGCAACGATATGGGGGGATCGGCACAGGGGGGGATGCATCGACCCCGAATCGCCCATCGATCGCCGACACGGGCCCGATAGCCCGAACCTGCCCAGGAACGTGCGGATTTACCATCGGGGGCCTATCGCCTTTCCATCGGCGATGCATCGCCGATTCCAGGCTGATGTGTCATCCCCCCCGGTGCCAGTCCCCTCCTCCTCCTCCTCCTCCTCCTCCTCCTCCTCCTCCTCCTCCTCCTCCTCCTCCTCCTCCTCTTCCTCCTCTCCCTCACCCTCCCCTCCTCCCTCCTCCCTCCCCCTCCCTCCTCCTCCTCCTCCTCCTCCTCCTCCCCTCCCCTCCTCCTCCTCCTCATCCTCCCTCCTCCTCCTCCTCCTCCTCCCCTCCCTCCCTCCTCATCCTCCTCCTCCTCCTCCTCCTCCTCCTCCTCCTCCTCCCAGTCGTGCCCCTCGAGAGGCGACCGCGGAGGAGCTCCTGGAGGCTCACTTCCTGGCGGGTGCCCTGGGCGGCGGCGGGCCGCGGGAGTCGCCGGCGCAGGCGGCGCACCGGCGGCGGCCGTGGGCCTCGGGGGGTCCAGGCTCGCCCGCGCGGGAGTTCGAGGGCCAGAGCCCCAGCGCGCCGTCGTCTCCAGGATTCGCCGGGCACGTTCCTCGAAGAAGAAACAACCACATAAACATAAACTTTTGGCGCTGCGCGCCGATTTCTTGGATTCGCGCTGGACCCCCCTCCCTGGCGCGCGGAGCGCGCCAGGGGCGGCGCTGGAGGCGCCGCCAGGAGGCCCAGCCTGGAGCGCGCCAGGGAGGGGGGTCCTGCGCGAATCCAAGAAACCCGCACGGAGCGCCAAAAGTTTATGTTTATGTTTTTTGTTCTTCTTCTAGTTCCGCGACTCGCAAAGTGCCTACTCGCAAACGTCCGAGCAAAAACACATGCCTGCATCGACGTAATGTAGTACCGTGGATCCCCCATGACGTAGCCGGGCCACGTGCGAGGAGTTACTTTGCGAGTAGTGGAACGCGCTTGTCGAAGGATGGGCCGATACGCCGCGGGGCAAGTATGCTGGAGCCCAGGATCCTCGCGGGGCAAGCAGGGGGGAGCTTCCTGCGGCAGGTCCGGCCGCGTGGGGCGTCATGGCGCTGCGCCGCAACCTGGAGGAGCATCACGGGTCCCTGGCGAACGGCTTGCGAGCCATGGATCCGCAGGGGCGTGGCAGGGTGTCTTTCGGCGACTTCCACGGGCACCTCGTGCGGCTAGGCCTGTGCCGGGTGGACGCAGAGGGGTCCACGCGCGCCATGGAGATGTTCAAGCTGCTGGACACGGACAGGGATGACCTGTTAAGCCCGCAGGACTGCCTCGAGGCATTCGGGGCAGCTGCGGAAGCCACCGAAGGCGAAGTGGCGTCGAAGCAAAGAGAGGCGGAGGAGGCCCAGTTCCGGAAGGCCTTCGAGTTCGCGCATGGCATTCCGAGCAATCTGCGCGTCCCGAAGGGCTTCGCGCGGACCGCTGAGGAGAGGCTCAAGCTGGACGCCCTTCGCCGCCGCTTCGAGGCAGAGCACGGTGGCTTCATGGCTGCACTGCGCTCCATGGACCCAGAGCGCACGGGCTACGTGTTCCGCGACACTTTCGTGCACGTGCTGGTAAGCTCCGGGTATTCTTGGGCGGGAGGGATCATCCCCACCCAGGTCTTCATATACGAGGATTCGAATATTTTTTGTTTTCCCCGGTAAGGTCTTGGCCTCACAGGGCGCCCAGTCTCTGACGCGAATGCGGAATCGCCTGGGTCCCCAGGGTCTGGTCCTCGGGGTCGCCTCGGGCTCCGGGGAGCTGTGCTATTCCATGTGATGTAATGCCATGGCTCGCAGTGCAATGCTATGCTGTGCAGCAAGACCGCACTGTGTCATGTGATGGAATGCCCTGCCATGCCATGCCATGCTATGTTATTCCCCAATCAGAGCTTGCCTCTGTAGGGGTCCTGGTGGGTTCATGTGGTTAGTTGAGGCGTGCCGCGGATTTCGGTAGCCAGGCCGGGTGCCTGGGTGCCCGGGTGCCCGGGTGCGTTTCGCACGGCTGAAGGACGCGCTCTCGGACACCACATTCCTCCACAGCCGGGCGGCGTCGGACCGGGCCTGCCAGGGTTACACGACTGCTGGGTGCGCTCGTCAGGGGTCGTCACAGACCATCCAGTGGCCATCAGGCACCGCGGCGTCATTACGATCCTGCGATCCTGCGGCACTTCATGGCGTTCGACCTTCTGAACGCCGGGTAGGTCGCGGGCGTCGAGATGGCCGGTCGCCTCCTCGTTCAAATTCACCAGGCGGAGTGCTGACGGGGGCGTTCGCCCGATGGACGGCGGACGAGCAGAAGTCGATGGCCTTCGCGATGAGGCAGCAGCGGATGCGCCAGGAGGAGGAGGAGGACCAGAGAAAGGGTCATGGCGGCCATGGCGGCAACGCCGGAGGGAAAGACGAGGGGTGGTGGGCCTGACGACGCTCATCGCTCAGGTCTCTTGTCGGCCCCGATCTCATGGCGGTCGATCGGGGGCCCTTTCGCTGACTCCGCGCCATCCCGAGGCGGCGGGGCGCCCGGGGGGCGCGCGCCACCTCGCCCGGCAGCGGCGCCAGCGCGGTCAGCCCGAGGGGAGGGTTGAAGGCGCCGTGGCGTTCTTCGACGTCGTGGCAAGCTGTCAACAGGGAAAGGCCCTCAAAGCCGACGTTTCCCGCCGATGGTTTTCCAGTGGCATTTCTGACGTGCGGGGCCGGGGGGCCCTGGGGGAACTCATCAGGTGCAAGTCAATCCACGACGTCGACGACGACGCGACGGTTGCCCAGTGCGACCCCGCGAAGCTCAACGTCCTGCGCCGTGATGGCGCGCCTCGCGACTCTCTGGATCTCGCTGGGGCGGCCGCGCGCCAGCCGCGCCTCGAGGGCCCGGACTTGCCCGTCGTGCTGCCGCTGGAGGAGCTCGCGGCAGCCGAGGGCCCGATCACACCTCATGGGGGTCCAATGCTCGGCTCCATTGCCAGGGCCCGCCGCGTGGACCTCGAGGATGGTTTCTGCCAGTTCGGGGTCGACTCCGTCGCCGGCTGGTTCTCGCTCGGGGTCGGCTGCTCGGCCGAATGGGCGGGGGTCACCGAGGTGTGCGACGACGATGCCAAGCGCCTCGAGACCATCGAGCCTGGCGAGCGCCTGTGGCCTTGCGGATTTTGATAGGGGAGAGTTGGGCGCTGTGATCCTTCCGCGGGAGCCTGGGGCGCGCGGCGAGTCGGTCGCTTCGGGAGCCCGGCCTGCCCGACGTCGCGCTCTTCGGATTTGGGCAGCGAGGGCTGCGCCCACTTGGGCTGCCGCATCGCAGAAGGCAGTGCCCTGCCCGCGCTCCATAGCTCGAGCATAGCTTGCCACGGGCGCCAGACGCGGCGTTGCTTAGGCACGAGGGTCTTCTCATCCCGGCGGAACTCCCAGCCCGAGGCTTCCGAGACATCTGGATCGTCCGACGTCTCACGTGCAATCGCATCCGTCTCCTCCTGGATATTGTCACTGCTGTTTCGGTAGCCCCCCATCCTCCGCCTGGGTGCCGATGTTGTCGATGTTCTCTAAAAGCGGCCACGGACTCCAGAAGTGACAAGTAAGAGACCGATCTGATGCCCGAAGTTGCGCGGCGCGAGGATTGGGGCTCCCGTGTCAGAGACGTGGCCACATGCTGAGATGCATTGGCCGCGTGGGGCCAACCCGCGGGGGCAGCGAGGAATCGCGGTTTCACCGATGTCTTGGGATCCAGCTCTCTAATCCAATGTAGTGAGGCCGAGTTCCTTGGCTAGCGTGGACTCCATCGTGGGGCGTCTCCTAAGGGGGCCAGGGAGTTCCATGGTGCGCAGGGCATTTTTTTCCAGCTCCGAGGAAAACGGGAGCAGGCAATCGCCGCCCTCGGGGGGCGGGGGGCAGAGGGCCCAGGGGCAGGAAAACAGCATTTAGATATCCATGGGTCGAGGCTCAGCCCTTACTTTTCCCCGTGGGACTTCCAGGCCGCAAACAAGCTGGCCCGAATTCCGTTCGGAAGATCTGTATTCAACAAGACCAGAGGCATAGAGGCGAGGTTCTTGAATTTTCTCTTTGAATGTGGGCGGGGATCGCCTGCCTCCTTGCGGTTCCCTCGCTGGAGCTCTATTGAGCCCCCCGATGAACTCAGCGCCCGCTGGCCCCGGAAGTTCGCCCAGGGACCGGGCCTGGAAACCGGGCTGTAGGAGAGACAGTTTGCCGCGGGCAATGGAATCCCAGCGCGGCCTTCTACCTTCTGATCTTCTCGGCGCTTCCCTGGAGATCTTTCATCTGGATGAGCGGCCGTGGGCCCTGCGCTGGAGTCGCCGGGGCGACGCTGAGATTCGCGGGGGAGTTCCGCGCGGGCCCCCGCATGCCACCGTGCCCCTTTGCACCCCGAGCCTTCTCTCCGCGTCGAGAGGCGCTAGGGGCGCGGATTCCAGGCGTTGTCTTCCGCACCCCAGAGCTCCGTCGGGGCCCCCCGAGGGCCGAGGCCCACTGGTGGGCGCCCCGTGCGCCGCGCCCGCAAGTCAAGATAATGTGTCTCCCAGGTAGACAGAAGCGGGGCAGCGCCACCTGCCGTCTCGGGCATGTCATCTCCCCGCTCCAGCTCATCAGCCGCTCGACTCAATGCGTCGCCCCTGCGCCGTCCGTGCTGTCTTCTCCCGAAGCGTCGCCCCGCTGCCCCGTGACCTGCTGGCCTTGGAACGTCGTCGCGAAGGTCCGTCGCCACTGCTGCCGCGTCGTCGACTCGATGCGGCCCCCCCTTCCGCGAGGCCAGCGGGGCGCGCGGAGAAGCCTGTCCAATTCGAGGCCTCGCCCCTTCTTCCGCAAAGCGCGCTCCTCGCGTGCCGCGAGGGATTGCATGTCGACAGATCTCTGGCACTTCAACTCTTGAATGCGTTCGCGTGATCAACTCTGGGGAGATCATGAGTCTGGCTTTGGTGGGTGCCCAGCAGAGCGGTCTGCTGCTCGGCGTCGAGGCTCGGCGTGCCACTGCCGGTGCCGCCCCCCTAGCGAGTCCGCTCCCAGTGGTAATTCTCGATCAGTTGGGCGGAGTTGACAATGTGCGCAGTGGTGGCCAGGTTGACGACGTCGAGCTGGTCGTGCCAGCAGGCGGCGGTTGGGGGCCTCATCGCTGTCTCGTGGGAGGCCACCCCGTAGTCGGTGTCCGTGAATGTTGCCGTTGCCATGCGCCACTCGTGATGTTCCGACTCGGCGCGCCGCGTGGAGGTCCGCGGGCCTGGCGCGCGCGCCCCCGCTGAACTTCGCCTGATCCATCTTAGCAGCGGCGTCCGCGAGCCCCCGCGTCCGCTGCTCTCCGGCCAGGTCGATTGGGGGCGCGCGGGCGTCTCTGTCACCTTCATTATCGATGCTGTGCTTTTTCTTTGAAGTCGGCCATGTCAGCCGTGCGCACCTGGGCGCATAGGGTTCGAGCCACCCCGTTCGCGCCGTCATGCTGGCGCACTTTGCGATCGGCCTGGGCCAGCGCCTGGGCCTCGAGCGTCGCCTGGTCGCCCTTCTTGTAGCCGCGGCCGCTTTCGACGGCGAACCACGGCGGCCTGGCGCCGCTGGCCTGGTCCCCGCCGCGAGCCTCCCCCGACTGCTTGAGGTTGCGAGCCTCCTCTTTGTGGGCCGCCAGTCGGTCTGCCGTTGAGCCCCCGCGGGAACGACGCGCCTCCGCAGGGTCGGCGCCGCCAGGAGGGCCGCCGCGCGGACCTCCCAGATGAGCGCCTATCAACGTCGTCATTCTGTCGATTGAACTCTTCCTGATCGACGTCGTCCCCGGGCGTGGCGATGATGAGCTCACCGCCCGAATCGCCCATCTTTTCCAGCGCGAGTCTGTCGTGCCAGACCAAATGACCGTCGTGCTTCGCGAAGACCTCCTTGCCCGTCTCCGTGATCTTTCAGAGGGCGCGCTGCGGGGCTCTATCGGGGCTGGATGGGGCGCTTGCATTGCGTCTGGGCCGCGTTGGAGGCCTCCGACGGCAGGGCGAGAGCGGGGGCTGCGCCGCAACGCCTGAGCAACCGCGGACGCATGGGGGCCGCCGTCGCAACCCGAGCAAAAGACTGACAGGAACACCAGCTGGATAATGCACGCACCCCCCGGCACTGTAGGCCCCCGAGATGCTCGAGGCCCATCCGAAGGGCGCGAACGGAGCCTCGAGACCTCTCCTTGACAGGAAAGAGGGCAAGGCTGCGAGTACCTGGGCCTTTTCGATGAGGGAAGAAACATGGGAGAGAAAAGTGAAGTGGTCGCACGCGGACGAGGTGGGAGCGTTGTTTTTGGCTTTGTGTCATCGGACGCAAAGAGCCCTAACGGGATTTCAGTAGAGGTGGGTCCACCTCTGATCGGATTCTAGTAGTGGTGATCCCATCCTTCATCGGAATTTTATGGCGGGTTGCTTCGTCTCTGTTTGGATCCTGCTAGCGGTGGACCCACGTCTAAGAGGATTCATTAGCGATGGGCCCATCACTAATATGATTATGTTCGAGGGCCCTGTCCATGATTACATCGCAAGTGGCTCCTCCCTGATCGGGTTTTATTCGAGGTGGCGCGATGTACGTGCTGTTGTGGGTTGCGCGTCGAATCCTTGTGCGCGGCCATTCACTGGGA